CTATTTACCTAAAGTATATTTATTTTTCCAGCAAACAAGCAATTTCAAATTCAACCCCCTAAACTCTTCTTTTTATTGTAAAATATTTAGGCAAAAAGTTAGACTAGTCCAACAGCAGCCACTATGGTTGCGCTAATAAAATTGTAAAGGATTCTTTACTTGCAATTGGTGAGCTAGTCAACCCATAACATTTCTGCAGTTCCGTTTCGTACCGCATAATTGAGCCAAAATGCAAACAAACAGTTTAAGAAGCCAGGTTTGAGTAACTATTCCGAAATTTTGCTTGGAGTTCAATTTGCTTGCCCAGGGAGGGAAGGTGAGAAGGGGAAACAGCAGTCGTGGTTAAGTATTAATACTGTAAGGTTAACATTAAAGCTAAGTCTGTGATCTTAACGACTGGAGACCAAACTTATTGCTCAATTCCCATTAGTGCTAACAGGAATAAATTACCGCTCCACATAAAAACAATAGCAAGAAAAACATAGCTACTAGTATAACTTAATAGAAATAATTTTTGTTTGCTGAAAAGAATTAACTTGCTTTATGCTATGGGAAATGAACTTATACAGGCTATTCAAACACAGCTGCTGCAGATTCCCCTTCTGTGAACAGGAGTTCCCTCAGTCCAGAGGCAGCGTGCTTGCAAGTATCTCCATAAACAGCTACCCCTGCAGAAATTCAGTAAACATCTGCAGTTAATACTGCTGAGATTACATTTAGCAACAGATGATACGATTACAAATGCTTCAGAAAGAAGCTTTTTTTTTATTTTTTTTTTTTACTTTTAAAAGGATTAAAAATACATAAGAAACCACAAAACTCTTTTCTTTCCTATAATTTTAAACTGAGCGAACTACCAGTCCGGTGCTCTGCCAGTTTAACTCATGCCAGAAACTTTGTCTGATGTCCTGCCAGCATGCTGCTGCCTAGATTTTCAGTTTCCCCGAAGATTACATATATTCACCATACATGACCCGAGGTTAACCGCTTCAATGTGGAGTGTATGTGGTGCCCAGCAGGCCTGTATACGCAGATGGATTTCACCCTAGATACTCTCTAAGTCATATTCACACCTTTTTATGGTAGGTTCACAAGAAGGATAATGAAAATTATGTTTAAAAGCAAAAAAGGCAATTATTTGATGAAAGAAAAAACAGCAGGCAGGGAATGGGGGAAAAGGTTTGCTTCTTGTCAGCAAAATTGTGTGTTAAATTGGATTTTATTTTGGACTGAAAGAAGGCTCTCCCGTGCTACCCCGCAAGGTGCTGCTGTCGGTGTGAGGGAGGTAGCAGATGGCTGTCTCCTGCCTGCTGTGGGCAAAACCACTGCTACCCTAACTGCTGCTGGCTTGCAGATGTTGAACCGGTAACGGCCTGCTACAGTAGGTGCCGCATTGCATAATTTCGTCGATTACAAGCTTTTCTGGTGTATTTAGGAGGTTAAACTGGCTGCTAGCAGCCATAGGTGAGGAAACCGCACCTCCGCTTGGCCGGGATGCTGGGACCTGGGAAGAGGTGGGCCTGGCCCTGGGGTGCCGGGGACAGAGGCCAGTCGCAGGCGCCGCGCTGCCAGCCCGGCCAGGCGGGCTGCAGGGACCTGCTAGCTGCTTTTTGGCTAGCAGTGTGTGGCTCTGCTTCCCGGCAGAGCAGGAAACACGGGCACCTCACTTTAACTCTTGCGGGCACCTCCCCAGCCAGACTCTGTCTGATGGAGATGCTGCAGGTTAGGTTAGTACAAGCTGTCATCACACTGTAGCTGAAGGGAATCTGTCGTCTACTTCAGGTTGACTGGCTTTTTTTCCTCCCTCAATGCAAAGCTCCTTAGCACCGTCTGGAAGAGCTCTAATGAGATACGGTTTTCAGAAAGGCTTCTTAGTCTTTTTCTTAGTCTTTTTCTCTCTGGACCCTCTTGCCTGCCACAGCACCGTGGTCGCCTGTTGCAGTCATCTGCAGGACATGAGAGTTGGCTTTCACTTGAGACACGTTTAACGGGAATGGCTTCCCACACTGAAGGTCCAATATTCCACGCAGTAGCTGGGAGGTGTGGGTATTTGAGAAAGCTCAGGTTTCCTTTGCTATACTCCCTGCTAATTTCTTCAGAGCAGCAGCATCACTTACATCTACACAAAGAGCCGGCCAAGTGCTCAAGGCACCGTAGGTAGCCATCTCTGGGCAGCTAACTCCTCATCACTTTCAAATAGCATTTTTCTAGAGTTCCCCAGGTGATGCTGGCAGCAAAGGAGGAAGGAGCAGCTTCTCCTCAGTCTCAATGCTACAGGGATTCTAGATTTTTTTTTTTTCTTTTTTTAAACTGACAGCTGCCCCACTGGTGACCCTGTCACATCTTTAGAGAATATTGGATCACCATGACTGATTTCAATTATTTGTAAATGCATAAATACAGAACAAATGTGTGCAGTAAATATATTTAAATAAAAATTGACAAGATGCATTTATTGTTTTCGATTTGTACAAAAGCATAACTTAACAGGCAGACTAGTATAAACTTACTTTGTGCCAAATATTTAAACTTTTCATTCCAAAGAGTTTCTGGTTCAAAACTTGTAGATACAGTTTCCACCTGGGAAATCTCCTTTATAGACCACAGATAACACAGTAATGTAAAATCAAAATTCTGCAGTCCTTCAACCAAGCAAAAGTTGCATTCTGCTTGAGTGCCAGAGTTTTAGCTACTCAGTGAATGGATTGTATGAAACATGAGCCATGCTGGAGTGACCTGATGAAAAGTCAGTTTGCCTACTGCTCATTCGTGTTCTGAAAAAAGATGGGCATTACGATCTGTGACATGCAATCTTAGCAAAGACTGATAAATATATGTGTAAAAATAGGGTGACATGTTTGGATTTTTCTTTGCTACTTCATACCAGCCAGAAGTAGCGTAAGAAAACCTATGTTACTTAAGCGAGTCCCAGATGTCACGCAGAAGCTCAATTATTCCTGAAATAAAAGAATGCTTTCACTCTGATTTTGCAAGTGGGTTTTCCTTTGCACAGGTAACATTTTCTCAGTAAGCCTGAAGGGTTTTCTCAGTCTTTGCTGCCACCACCACGGCTGCACCTGCCTTCCGACTTGGAGGGTGGAGTGGCAGTCTTTGCTGACGACATCTCCATAGACGTTCACCTCCGTTGGAAAAAACCTCCCACAAGAACAAGCAGGATACCTCCCTGAGATGCCCTTTCAAGAGCCTCCAAAGTGAGAACGTTACATCAAAAGCTACTTTTCCCACAGAACAGGGCTTGCTTGTGCTTCACTGCTATCAAGAGAGCTACTGCAAAGCTAGATTCATGTTCTTGTCATCCAGCATCCAAGTGCAACTTCCTGGAATTTTAAAATGTGGTGGATGCGCTGACAGCAGCTGTTTAAGAAACGGTGTGCAGCTGCACAAGTGTTCCACGAGACCATCTGGAGGAAAGTACCAAAAATAGATGCAAGCAAGCCTCATGTATTTCAGCAAAATTAAGCGTAAAGAAATCGGTGTCCATGCAGTGTTTGATATGCCATAAAAACTCTTTCAAATAACATTTGATAAGAAAACTATTTACCAGTGAAAATACAAGCTTAGACACTATGAACAGTTTACATCATGTAGGTGTTCACTGGTATGGAACAGTGGCATTATGACCAGGGTTCACCTTAAACTAGGTTACTCATGGGTTCCCAAATGAGCTAGTGTTTTATGGTGCTGTACAAATAAAAAGTTGTGGGGAGCATATGAAATATCTGTATTAAACTCCACTGCATTAAGTTATCCAATGCATGAAAAATGACCCAGATGCATTTAAAATAAATGCATATTACAATATCACATATAGTATTATAAAATTATTACTTATGTGCACAGTCCTGATATCTATAGACATGGCACTGTGAAGAAAGCCTGGTTCCTAAGCATTTTTACAGATACTTGATAGTGATGCAGTTTGCTATCAGTCAGATCATAATGTCCCTTCAACTTTGGTACATTCAGTGCAAAATATTTTTGGGAGTTTTTTACTCTTATAAAAATAAAAGGCATTTTTCCCTTGAGAGTGCTTAAAGAATAAACACTAGCAGAATGTCTGCTCAAGCATGGAAAGTGACAAAAACAGAAATAACATTTTAGTTTGCTTGTTTCTGTTTACACTCTAAGAAACATAATATAATGAACCTATAAAAATAAACAGAAGTCACCGTGTTAGGGTTTTTTTCCTGATATGCTGTGATAAATTGCTAGTTTCTTCTTAAAATAGTTTCCATGCAGTATAAAGCATAAAATCAGTCTTACTAAGTTATTAAGTTCATTGTAACAGCTCATCTTTTGTCATACACACCACTGGCAAACACATTTCCACAAACCTCCTTAATGCAAGCGGCTGTTGTTACATCCTTTGTGGCTGACTTTCCTTCCAGTTCGCTTCTGCCCCGGGAACTTGAGCTCTATGGTGCACGCCACGCAGCCACTCGTAGTCTTAGGTAAAAGCAAGTACTGGATATGCTATTGTAACATATGGCATAAAGTAATGTACCTTCATGAATTAAAAAAAAAAAAGAAAAAAGTATTGTATGATTTTTTGATAATTTACTGGGTAGGTAAGGGGCTGAATGATTTCACATTTTGACTTGAATTTTCTATTCAACAACTTTGATGAAATCCAGTTTTCGGGTGCATGTCAGTTTTGCAGTAGCCAGGTTGATCACAACATGGGATCACGTTTCTTGTTTGCTCAGAACATAAACTTAAGAAGTTTGCCCATCCTGAAAAACCATGGATTGCAAGACTTGGTTTTCCCTGCACATCAGGCACACTCTAGTTTCACTGTAGAGAATTCTGCCACTACCACAATGCTTTTTAATTGCTTCAGAAGCTCTTTCATGGAACCTCATTATTTGAATTGCACCGTGAAACAATTTTCCTCTAGGAAACCCAATACAAACGTTCGTTCATTCCTTGAGAAGACAGATCCACAAAAGTCCAATGAGCTGGGCACTGTGGTTTGGGTATCACTCAAGTCCAAAAGTACTTGTCTCTTCAACTGCTGTCAACAGTTTTTCATATAACATAGAGAACGATGGATAAGGGGGAAGGTCCAGACGATTGAAACAAGTGTGAGCCCTGAGGGGGGAAAAAAGAGGAGGTGAAGTAGTACATTATTTAAAAGTTCAAAAGAGAACACACAGACTGGTATGTGCTTGCGTAGAGATGGGCAGATAGTGTTCTTTCAGAAGACTTTGTTCTGTCAAATGATGTTTTCCAATTCAACAGGTAGTGAGGTTTAATCTACTTTTTTCTAATTAAAATAAGCCAGCAAGAAGTATTTATGAAGGTCTTTAGAAACACACTGACAGCCCAAAAGGCATGGGATAAATTTTATCCGTTCAATGTCCATGAGAAAAGAATGATATAACATAGTACAATTCAAATAGTCTGTTCTGAAATCTTGGCTTTAAATGTATCTTCTGAGAAATTTTTTTTTATATACTGATGGTGCTTGAATACTGTATTTGTAATAATAAACAAGACATTTCAGTACATTGAATATGCACAAGATACTAGATTTGACGAAATACTAAAAAATACTCTAGATATACAGGAGACAAGCCCACAGTAGTAATGGATAGACAAATTAGATGCTCTTCCTTCTATGTTTCCTAGGCATATGGATCGTGTTTCTTGGGAAGTTACTACTTGTGCTGATTTACGCTATGTACCTATCTGGCCCTGCAAGCCAACAACCTTTAGAATAATACTTTTTGTAATTACACAAAACTATGCATGTACCTCGCATACCATCCTGCTTTCTTAAGAGGACAACCACGTAGTTTATTTCTCAGTTTCCAAAGTCCATCTACCTCAGTTTTTTGACAGATTTGGAACTGACTCTCAAAACCTCTTCCAGGGGATGAAAAGGGAGATAATAAAGGTTTTTCCTCTTAATAGAATAATGGAAATAATTGCCTGACCTCAGGGCAGGCTAAGGAGAATACGTTCTAAAACACTATAGTGGAGAGCCTGCTCTAGTGAAATAGATGGCATAACTATTAATGCGATGGGTTCTTGAGGAAGAAATGATGTGAAGAGAAGCTGGAGGAGGCATCTTTTCCGCTTTGAAGCTTTGTACCAAAGCCTCACTTTAAACTGATTTTAGAGGATGAAAACCTTTTTGTAGTTTGGCAGGTCTCTGTTGACAAATACTTTATTCTTTTGCAATAAAACAGATCACAGAGTTATTTAAATACAATCCTGCAGTGACCTGCCTTTCATCAGTGTGACCCTTATTAAGTCTAAACGTGTAACATAATGTCAATGGAAGAACTGAACAAGCTCTCTCCTCGCAGCAAATGCAACTCCTCATTTAATCTAACCACTCCCAGAAATCTGAGTGTCTACAACAGACCTGCAGTGAGCTTTGTCTGAGCCAGAAAGTACTGCCTTCCGTGGGAGCAAATTCATTAATTGCCATTTTAAGTGGCTCTCAGCTTCCAACAATGGGGATGGAACATGGAGTGAAGTGGGTTAATCTCGTTTGTTAAAAACGTAAGAGTCCATTACAAACCCTCATTGAAGGTGAAACACTCACTTAGTTACAGCCTTAGTGTCATAAAAATATCAGGCTGAAGAAATGTATACACAGTACAGAAGGTCACACTATTACTATAAACACAGTCCAAACATCAAATATGCAATCACTTAAAAAAGCACCGAACTTTGCACCCTCCCCAAATACAGTACGTTTAGAAGCACGCTGCTAGTACATGCTGTAGAGCAGAGAGGGCATTTCCCCACCCTGTATTCCAAGGTAAAATTTCTCCACCCTTCCACCCCTCTAAGGCTGCTGGAAGAAAGCTTTCTTTGTACTCCTCATTTGCCTTTCCAAAAACCTTATGAAGTAATATCTGTGATATAGATTAAATTATTATTATTGCATTTCCCGCACTTTTTAAAAAAAAAAAAAAAAGGAAAAAAAAGAAGAAATTTCCCTTTTGAAGAAAGAGCCTGGTTTAGACCCAGCAGCAAATGGAACTCAGTGATCCCTTGAGTTCAGTGTAGAGTGTGGAAGAGTCTTAGGCAATTAACAGTCTAACCACATGCTTCTGCTGCATGGGGCTGACAGCCACTCATTAGAACTATGGATCATGCTGTGTGGGCCGTAAAACCACAAATTATAAAAGACGTAGTATATAATTAGCAAGGGATTCATTACAAACTGGTTTAATATTAAGCCGGCATGTTGTTTACATTTATTAAGAGAACTGAGTTTTATCTTAATTTTGAGGGCAAAATGCAATCACCTACTTTGGAAAACCAAGTCATTAAAAAAGACAAAAACTTAAGATCTTTGTCTTCTGAGGGAATGCATGCCTTTCTCACTCTATCAAGCAACTTTGTAAGTCTTTGAGAAGAAAGTTTTTTTTCCCTCTGGACAGTATTTTCCCATTCCAACATTTCAAACTACGCAGGCACTGATTGCTCATCTTCCTGGACTCACATTTTATGACAATATGAAAAACCATCTTGGTTCCTGAAGTCTAGATTCCCAATTAATCCCCCCCTCATTTTGATTATAGTAGCAAAATAGAGTGACTTGGGGTTAAAATCCAGCAGTCAGACATAAATACTATTTGCATTTGAATCATCACATGCACATATATATAATGTACAGCAATGAGCCTGGAACCAATTTCTCAGCATCTAAGTGAACTGAAAGAGTAACAGTCCCTCTGCTGATTTAGTGTAATCTACAACACAGTGCAAAAAAAGGAAGAAGTGGCATCAGGGATAGCAATAGTTAAGCTAAACCTGTAATAATCAATCTTTGCAGGGCCTTTTACATGCTACTGACTTCTTAGTGTAAAAGACAGTGATACAAGCTAGGCAACCTGACACGCGCCTCACAGAAGTCTCACTATTTTGATTCAGCAGAACTGATTACCAGCAGTCAGAACAGTGGGAACTAGGCAAACATCTAGTGACTACTTTTGTGTTTATATTCACAGCTGCTTAGACCACAATCACATACCTAAGTAACTATATTAGTTACCTTCTGTGTCTCAAAATCAGGAAGAAGAGATGGGGACGGGTGGTATTCTGTGTTTTCAGCAGTGCAGTAGAGGAAGAAATATAAAGTTCACTGACTTGTTGAGTCCTAGCTTTTGCCACCCTCACACCAAGTATTATCGAATTTCACAAGCACTCCCACTGAAATCAAAAGGGCAATTTGCAAAGTATAACACTGTTACGAGTGAGTGACGGTGCCTTAACACAAATGCTTTAGTTATCTGAGAATCAGTAAGAGTCACAGAGTCCTAGGGCAGCATTCTCAGCAGATGCAGCAATGTGTTTACACACGCAGGGCTTGTTTGGAAACCTCTTGAAAGTTCGCTACTCGGGGTTGTCGTTAAGGATGTCTTACCTTCAAGCCAGTACTACTTGGTGTTTGCACAGTAAGTCTTTGAAGCTGGTGAGACACAGGCTGAAGATACACTGCATGCAGGAACTAGATATGTAAAAATGTAAATACTGCTTTCTGCTTAGGGCTTAGCCCATTTAAGCATAAACATGGAAGATCTCTCTTTTTTTTTTTTAATAAGATCAAGGTTCTATGTCTGAATGCCAGGAATTGCCAGCTCGTAACAACTGTAGATATTTGTCATACACAGTTGTTTTTATTTTAACAAAACAAGTGCATTGTTGGTTTATTTTAATTCTCACACTTGTATGTTAAAAACTATCCAGACAGACAAAAATCAAATGTTTCCTAACCAAGGGAATCATAAATGAAATTTCAAGGGCATGATACATTCTCCTAAATGTGAAGAGTTGGCATTTCCCCTACGCTTGCTGAACACCTTATGGTAGCAAAGATTCTCGACATGTTTCTCCATGTTGCGCTACAGGAAGCAGTTTTATTCTGCAGTTTGTTACAACCGGGGCTCTGCATAACCTTTTCAGAGGGAATTCTGAGCATCCTGTTCTGGCATGTCCTGACCTTTTCCACACTGCAAGCTGTGCTTGTTAGCACCAGGAATTCCAGTATTAGAGAATATATGGAAAAACTCCCACAATCTCTTTTCTTACTTAAACTCACAAGAAAATCTTGTATTTCGAAGTCACAAATTATTTTTTAAAGAATCAAAGCTTTTTTTTTTTTTTAAACAGAATCAAAGCTAGTCCATAGGTCAATCATAATCAAACTATAAAGTAGACTTACCGAGGTACAAGGTATTACTAGGCCCCCAAAAGATACTACGAGTTTTTGATTTGAAATAGCAATTTTGAGAATTTGTTTATCTTTAATCCTCAGTTGCCTGGCTCTCATTTGTACTGTAAACTGGCAAGATGGCTTTGTTTAAAGGCCACCTGCTGTGTCTGTGGATTTCACAGTGCCATTTCTGTGTCTTTGACTTTCTCAGTGCGGTTCAAATGGTAGCCTGCAGGCAGGAGCCAACCCAAGAGATGTCTCTGCCTCTGACTTCATGCTGGAGGAAAAAGCTAAGGGTTGTTGGTCGGAGAAACTCTCTGTGTGTCTGACAGCCGCCCTGTGTCTAAAAAGAGACTCTGAATGCAAGTTATTCCTGAGGAATCTTGTTTAAGAGGAATGGGCTAGGATTAGGGTTGAATTTCCTCCATGGATCAGCCCAGCCCAAAACTACCACCACAGGCTATAAGCAGCACACTAAAGCTGAGATCTGATTAAGTAGAGTTAGTTCACCCACACTCCGCACGCTGATCTGTATGTCTAACCACTGCTAACCCATTCTAGAGGCTACAGAATTAGAGAACTGGATGAAAGGAAATCTTCCAGTAACATATCAGCCTGATCACAATATTGAAAAGACTAGAACCTGTCATTTTTTGTCAATGAAGCGTCCATGCTAGAAGATGTTTCTTGCATCACTCATATGTTATTAGTCTAGTCCTGGTATTGTTACCATGGACTTTTGAAAACAACTCTTTTTCCTGTCTTTACAAAATGGAAAATTTAGAAAAGCGACTTTTTTTTTTAACCTTCTCATCCTACCCCTCCAAACCTGCCATTCTGCAATTTGAATGCTGCCTCTTGTCTGCAAGGGCTTGTACAACTCAGCTCCTGCTTTCATATCTTGGACTCTCATACTGTTCCGTTAGCCTCTTCACGTATTTCAATTGACCCTACTTGTCCTCTTTGAAATCTTCACCTCCTCTTGTCCCTGTACTGCCTCTTAAGTCAAATGACCCCCTCCTCAAAATACACCTCTTCTGCAGTTCATAACTTGCCTCTTCCCTATTTGTTAACACTCTTGACATCAGACAGAGCATAAAAATTACATCACTAAACTATACTGTAAAGGCTGTGTGTGTCTAATGCAAAAAAATCTGGTATTAGCTTTCACTCAGACACAGTCACAAGTGCTATTTAATTTTAGTTCATATTCATTTTTGCTCCTCAGTGATGAACTGCATGTTCAGGAAGTAAATACTTGCACATTTAATAAAATATCACAAATCAAATTCTAATCAAAATATCATTCTAATATAATTTTCCGTGAAAAAATCATTACAATATGGATGTCAGCCACTGTTACGCTGCCTTGTCCACCTTATGAGAACAAAATTGAGTTCAAAGAAAAATAGATGCATCAGACACTGGAACAATGGGGAAGGAAATTTTCATGTAAGGCATAGTATATTTGCATATTCAGTTAAAACTTGTTTATGTTTCTCAAACAGCTTATCTGTTATCCTGGTAACTGATATTCTAAAGGAGTATCTCTAGCATTAATGCACACACAGTTTTACCTTGGAAGAGCAGTGATCTTCCCCCACTTCTCTACACAGAACCTTCTTGGACCATTGCTCCCCCGTAGAGAGGCAAATCCTTCATAAGGTATGCTGGACGTTCCTGTAACAAACTGCCAGCGCAAGCAAAACATCACGGATATTGGATACGCAGATGGTGCGGGTTAGAAATTTATTTATATTAGCATACCCACTGAAGTCCAAATGCTTACGTAAAAGCATTCGTAAAACAAGGAGATTTGTGAGGCACAAGTAATAAATGCCACTTTAAATGGAGGATAAGGGAAAACAGACCATTTCCTGATAGGGCAGAGACAACTTATCAGATTAATTTCCTTCAAAGGTTTCTCTTTGAAAGAGTAATTACGCTACATAAATACTGCAGAATAAAACACTATTAATATCAAGTTACTTAAAATTAGGCCTAAGTGAGATTTTTCCTACTGTCTTTATTCTGTATTAAGAGGAACTAATAAGAAAGTAATAATGTATGATAATGGCTCCGTGTTACACTTTTTTGCTATGTAGATTTCAATATCTTTATAAGATATTGATTATTAAATACTGTAAGAAAAAGACTAAATTCTGAAGGTTAGGTAGAATGCCCACTGACATTTGTTGAAATGCTACCTGTTGAGCAGATTTAGTTAGAACCTGTTATGAAAAGATCAAACATGGTTTTTGACAGATCAGAGGCTACTTAATTTTTAATGATCTGGAGATGATAAAAACTTTTGACTAACAGATGTGATAGGACCATATAAGCAGACATCTCTGGCTCTCCATCAAATGAGATATCCCACACTGCTTTTTACAGACCTTTTTTAAGTACTTAAACAGATAAAAAAAGAAAATCCTTCATCATACTCATATAGGTAACTCAATGATCAGATGCAAATTCTGAATTGTTAAAAACAGTGGATTTCATAATAGATCAAGAACATGGTATGGTTTGAGGTGGGGGTAACCTGAATTTAAAAAATTTAACTCAATAGTAAACCCACATGTATAAATATTCCTCTGTCAAGAGGTTTTTGTCCTTCATCAGCAGGATGACTGGATTCTGCAGGCTGACTTAGTGAAAATGGAATTGGACTGATTTTCAGGTTTTCATCATTATCTTCTAATTTGAGGCATTTTAACTTCTAACTAAGCTTTCTCCTTCCTAAGCTGTACAAATATTACTAAATTTTCTACCTAATGATATAACCAATTACACAGTTTTCCTTTTCTATCTTCACTAGTCTTAATGTACTTTTAATCAAACAATAGTAAAGGATTATTGACCTCAGATATTTTATCTTAAATGTATTTTTAACTTAGAAAGCTATAAAAATAGCTGTGAGCTTCAGTCACTTAAAATTATTCCAGTAAGTCTCTGAGGATTGCAAGGTTATTCCCATTAGGCAGCATCACCATAATTTTTTGATGTCATAAGCCTGGATGGAAATAGTTTAGCATCTAATTTTAACATTGCAGACTATTTCTATACAGATCAGCTGATTTCTTACCTGTAAAAGTCTTAGTCGTTGTTCATTGTTGAATCTTTCCACAGCAGCCCAGAACCACCGAATTACAATGTGATTGTCATGATAACCTGTTAAAACAAGAGCAGCCTTTGTACCTTTAAGTGCTTACAAAAGTGATTGAGAGAATAGTTAATAAGTTTTTCCTAGTTCAGCCCTAGTCACAATAATGCTGTATTTCTTATCCAATTGCAGCAAAAGACAGGAGATGACAGAAAACTACTCCTGAAATGATTAAAAATCTTAAAGGCAAAGAATTCATGTACTATGACAAAAAGGAGCGAAATCTCTTTTGCAAGCATTTCTCCCGTTAATCGAACGCTAACA